AAGAGGGGGTCTTACTCTTGTTCAGGATGGGTCTCAAACTCCTGAGCTCAAGCAATCCATGCACACTGACCTCCCAGAGTGTTAGGATTAAAGGCGTGAGCCACTGTGCCCAGCCCGCAATTCCACACTTTTTTTTTTTCAGTAGCCAAAATAGTTATTTATTAATAACTTAAAATTTTACATTCTTATTATAAATTCCAGCTCAAAACTTTACACTACGAACGTAATGGAGCAGTGTAACGCTCCTTCCTTCACAATCATATGCATTTCATCTATCAAATGGGTACCCATGCTCACACACACTTCCAGTTTTATATAGATTTTTCTTTAAAAAGGAAAAAAACCAACCCATAGTATTGCATTTAGGTGATACTCCCTGAAGAATTTTATACAGAGTTAATTAACTGTTTAGCACAGCTGAAGTTTAAAAAAAAAAAAAAGCCCATGATTTGGTGTCTTTCCAAGATGTCCCCCTTTGAGACATCATGAGCCAAAAATATTTACAAAGGTAAAGCACAGTCAAACTACATTAAGAAGGAAGAATCATGAGGAAGATACATGAAGGAGACTAAAAGACTGCACCATAACAAGGGCTTAGTAATAACCGTGCCCAGGAAGATGTCCTCAGAATTGTAATATCAAACATGCTGCAAATAGACCCTTTGGATTAGAAAAGAGCAAAATTTTCCATTTTTGTGTGTTAAGAAGTGGCAAACTGCTCTTTTGCCCTTTGGATAATTTCTTTTAAACCCACCAAAGAAAAAAACAAAGCACAATTCAAACAAATGCTGTTAAGTGACTTAAGATCAAATATTTATAATAATTGAATAGGGTATCAGATTTTTCTTCTAAACTGATAACTACAAAATCCAGAGCTGACATCTCTCTTTGGCTCCTCTATATGCAAAATTGAATCAGTCTTTACTGAAGACAATATATAGTCAGTTCCAGAATCTATACAGCATGTCCTGTTCTTCCAAAGAGAATGGAGCAAATCTTTCTTTGTAATAACCAATTCCACACTTGGTAATCTTGTCTGATACAGACAGCTGGTGTCATTTTGACCTCTGGGGCCACAGATAAAGAAAGTAGCCCAGCTGATGCTGCCAAGAGAAACTGCTGAAGAAACGGACATATCCTAGTGAGGAAGGGCTGGGGCCTTTCATGTGGATTGCAGGGAGTCCACCTGGTAGGCGTTCTGGTTGGAGGGGGTGGTAAAATAGGGCTGCTGTGATGGAACCCGGTTAACAGGGGCTGCTGAGTCCTAGCGTCCTCTCGAAGTCCAGTAGCTGGCCCATGAAGCTGAAGTTAGGGGAGATGCTAGACTTCTTAACAATGTCTTAGGCAACGTTCATCGATGGATTCAGCTTCTGCATGAGGTGCGCCACAGTCACAGCGACTCAGCGGCTAATGCCAGCCAAGCAATGCACCAAGACGCCACGGTCATGCCCGTAACTCCCCAGCTTCATCTATGAAAGAAATGGCCTCAGGGAAAACGGACAGGTTTTGGTTCCAGTGATCCGAGATAGGGATTTGCTTGTATTTAAACTCTCCCTCATCCTCAAAGAGATTCAGCAAATTAGGGGCGACATTCAAGATGTACTTGATGCGGAACTCCTCCAGAACGTCCAAGTTGGTGGAGTCCTTGGCATAGCCCAAGGGCAAGATCTCCATGGGGAAGGAAGGTTGGCTGTTGGACAGCAGGCTGCCATCGGAATCTGTTGTGCTATTGGGGTCTCTGACAAGGTCGGACTCAATGTCCAAGGATGAGTCAGAGCTGATCCGCAGGTCCGGAGCCTCAGCACTGGCAACAGCGACGAGCTACTGCTGCAGTAGCCGTCTGAATTAGTCTCGCAGTGCGGGGCAAACTCAGCTGGAATTTACTGAAGTCACCTTCAAGGTAGAATGCCTGGCAGCCGTCATCCTTGAGCTTCTTTTAATAGCAGCTTGAGCACCGACTCGCTGCCACGAGTATTCTTGGTCCTGTCGCTGCTACTCTAGTCGTAGAGTTACCACCGCGTTGGTGCCGCAGCGCCGAGTGAAGCAGTCCCAGTCCCGGTCCTCAGCGCGCGGGAAGAGCACACACGGGCAGATTGCCTTTCTGCAGACGCCGCAGCATGATGCTCGGCATGGCTACGTTGGTGGCCGGCTCTGTGCGACCACGTACAGCTCCTGTAGCTGGCAGTCCATCAGCGGCAACCGCTCGGTTGCCCAGCTCCACCTGCTTGTAGAGCCACGCCACCTTAGCTAATCGCCATTTCGGACGCGAAGGGCACGGGTCTGAGCATATCTGTTATGAGGGTTGAGCTGCGGAGAGGGCAGGCGTAGGCTGAGTGCACCGCGCGAAGCCCCCCAGAGTTTAGTTCTGCCTCGCCTTACCCAAGCCGAGGCTAGCGGTTGGGGAAGGCAAGACTGAAGTAAAGCTGGCGGTTCCCTCTGCAGCCGGCTGCAGCCGCTGGCTCTTCGTGTCTGTTAATCTCTGAGTAAAGCTGCCCAGGCAGTTTTGTACCTCCCCAGTGAATGAGATCCAATTAATTTGGATTCCGTGCCACTGAGAAAGGAGGAAAAAAAGTCTAGCGGCTCCTAGTCCCCCCCTCCTAAAGCTGCACCTCAAATCTCCCCAGGAGTCTTTCTCCCAGATTATTGAAGACTCGATTTGCTCACTGTCCTTTAGACTCAGCACTCGCACAACCCCTGCGTTAGGCAGCTCCTCAAATTCACAATTACACTCTTGAGCACAAACCCCAGAAAAATTAGTCCTTATGTCCTCAAAAAGATGTATTTAAAAATGTTCATAGGTGCTTTATTCATAATGGCCCCAAACTGAGCAACTCCAAAGTCTACCTAGAGTCAAACGGATAAACCTAGGTGACCTGACAGTGGTAAGTGAAAGAAACCACTCACAGGAATGTATATATAGTATGTATATACATACTGAATGTACATGTGAAGTTCAGAAACTGATAAAAGGCCACAGTGATTGAAGTCAGAATATTGGTTATCCTTTGATGGATGGTAATAACAGAGTTTGCTTGATCTCAGTGGTGGTTACCCAGGGGTGTGTGCATAAATATTATTTGAGCCATATACTAAAAGTTTGTGTTCTTTACTGTATATAAATTGTATATAAATTGTAATAAAAATGAAAGGGAAATGAAAATATTGGAAGTGCTTGAATAATTCCCAGAGCTAACTGTGCAGGATAATTCAAGCAAGATTTCTGATGTTATCATCCCTGTTATTCAAAATACTATTTATTGCTTTAAGAATCTTTTAAGTATCAGATTTTTATTTTACTAATTAACTTGACACTGGAGTCTTATGAGGAGTTAGTAATGGATGCGCGATAAAAGATCTCCGTAATTGGCTCGGCACCCATACACAGTGGTTAACGGTGCCAGCCACATACACTGAGGCTGGCGGGTTGGAAGCTGGCCCTAGCCAGCTAAGCAACAATGACAATTGTAACAGAAAAGTAGCTGGGCATTGTGGTGAGCACCTGTAGTCCCAGCTACTTGAGAGGCTGAGATAAGAGAATCACTTAAGCCCAAGAGTTTGAGGTTGCTGTGAGCTGTGACACCACAGTACTCTACTGAGGGTGACATACTGAGACTCTGTCTCAAAAAAATAAAAGAAAAAGATCTCCGTAATTTACGTAGGCCTTTATTAGGTTGACACAAAATGTAGTTTGCAAGTTCTTTTATTTGGGGATTTCTGTTTGGTTGGTTGGGTTTTTTTTTTTTTATTGCTTATGTTAATGCTCTTCTCATTTGGGTTTTTATAGAGGATTCAGACTTATAGATGGTACATATAAAATGTCAGTATATGTTTAAATTCAGAATTTCAAAACCCTTAGAATATTAAAAGATTAGTGAATGCTCACTTGAGAACAACATAATTTTGGAAATAGTGAATTGTAATATTGGGAGCTATGTCCTATTTGATAGAAAATTGGTGGTGCTGTTTTTTCCACTTTTATGCATATGTGTATCTCTGGAATTCTGTCCAAATGAAATGGAATCCTTCCTAATATTACTTCATATTATCTTCATAGGAAATTGTGTGAGAGGTGTGTTATTAATTTTATTAATTGACTTTGTATTGTTCGCCTGGACCCTTAGTAAAGAAGAATTTTTGTGAAGTTTCAATTTGTTCTTTGGCCAGTGTAAGCCTTTTCAAGTTGGTTCTTTATCCTTTGACATTCAAAATTATTTTTAAAGCAACTTAACCACTAGATGTCACTGTAATTTAAGTAACAAAAAATTTGTATAAGTGCTTTTAGTGTTTGAAATTCAGAACTAATTTATTTATTTTGATCAAAATGTTTGACTAGTATACATAATCTTTAGGCCTTTGGGATTTTAGTATGTTAGATTCAGTTATGGTGAGAAAAAATTTTCAGTTTGATTCTCTTGCATTAAAACAAAAACCACTTTTACACAGATATCTATTACTGTAAAATACAGACTGCACATAAGGTTCATGTGCAATTTAAAGTAGTTGAACATAATAAATTGCACATGATTTTTATGTCCATCTGTATTTTGAAGGGCATGGATGTCATTTCCATATCACAAATCATTTATTGATTTATTTATTTATTTTGAGACAGACTGTCGTCACTCTGTCACCCTGGTTGACTGCTGTGGAATCAGCTCACAGCAACCTCAGACTCTTAGGTTCAAGGGAATCCTCTGAGCCTGCCAAGTAGCAGGGACTATAGGCACCTGCCACAATGCCCAGCTAGTTTTTCTATTTTTAGTGGAGATGGGATCTTGCCCTTGCTCAGGCTGGTCTTCAGCTCCTGAGTTCAAGCCATCCTTCTACCTCAGCCTCCCAGAGTGCTAGGATTACAGGCGTGAGCCACCGCACCCAGCCAGACATTTTATTCTTATTCATTTTTTACTGTAAACCCATTCTTTCTTTACCTGCATTGTGAAAAATTTAATCAGACTTTTTTCATACTTAGTTTTTGTTCTTGTCAACTCATTCTCTTCAAGGTTCAACCTGGAGAAGGAAATAAAGCCGCCTTCAATGACATGAGAGCCTTGTCTGGAGGCGAACGTTCCTTTTCCACGGTGTGCTTTATTCTTTCCCTGTGGTCCATTGCCGAGTCTCCTTTCAGATGCCTGGACGAATTTGATGTCTACATGGTATTGTCACATTTTAAGTTCTCTAGTTTTTGTTGGTTTGTGTAAAATACACAGTTTGAAAGGAAGCAAATCTTTCTGTAAACACCAGGATCTCAAACCGGTAGGCCTAAGAGTGAAGCCGTCCTCCTCTCACATCTCTTTCTTTTCTTGAATTCCTACCTTGATTGAGGGTAAGCTTTTGTTACCAACCCAGTCACCTAACTTCAAAGACTGTAATTAATCTGTGATTCTTCCGTTTTAAAGTCGGATCTCTGCTTTTCTTTTAAGACCTCTCTTTAGTGTGTGCCCTCTTCTTCCTCACTGAGATCTTAGGGCAGTAGACTCTCATCCAGACTCCCAGACTGTCATCCAGCTGCTTCTTCACTCTGTCCTCCACCGTTTTGTCAAGTTTATATTTCTAAATAGATGAGATTATGGTCACTCACCTACGTAAAACCCTTCAATGGTTAATTATTGTATATGGAATCAATGCTTTGAGACTCTTTCTAGTATCTGTTTACTTTTTCAGCTTTTGGATTATTTTCCACCCATAGTATGTCTGCCTAATGTGCCCTCTTGCGTTGTGTGTCCCACTTATCTTCCAAGACTTGGTTCAGATGTCACCTTTATGAGCCTTCCATGACTACCATACCATTTCAGGCAGGGGTAGGAATTTCTCAGGGCTTCCTTGGCCCCACCTTATATCAATTCATAAAATGAATTGTGTTTATATTTTTATTATAAGATACCTTATATAATATTTTATTACTTTTCATTATATTGCAATATTTTTGTCTGAATCTCCTTCCAGATTATGAACTTTTTGAGATTATCAACTGTGTCTTAATCGTATTTATGTCTCTGATTCCTAGCCCATAAGAAATATTTAGTAAATGCTTATTCACAAATCAGAATTTATACTTTTAAGTGCTGTACAGTTCTTGAGTATTAGTTTTTTCCTTTGATACCATCACTGAAGATGGGTTAAAAATTCCTCTGAGAATTGTCTCCAAAGCCAGTTATAGTCATAGAAGATAATTATTCTCTCCATGCAGTGTTTTTGTCCAGAATCATTATTTATTCTTACTACCCATTATGTCCAATTTCATTCTAAACAGGTTTTTTTGCCTTTCAGAAACTTAAGAGCTTCTAAACCAGAATGGCACTTTACCCCAGTGAAATTATTCAAAAGAATGTTTCCAAGTTCTGAGAGCTAATCCAAGGGGAACAAATAATGTGTGATGCATTAGCAGCTTTGTTATTAAATAATATGCCTCGTAGGGCGGATATGCCTGATGGAATTTTTATAGTCAGAGCCATTGATCAATCCATGTAGCAAGGATGAGGATCTGCACTTGACTCCAAAGTCCTTGTCCTAAGCCATCTGGCTGTATTGCCACCATATAGTTTCAGATAAGACCTTTAAAAATATATTCATTTGTTTATGATTTTAACTTTCAGGAATTTTCAAGAGGGTGGAGAAAAAAAATTTTTTTAATTTTATTATTATTTAAATCAGAAAATACAAGGACAGTTTTAATTTATTTAATTGAAAAACTTCTCATAATTATGCATTTTTCTTTTTCTATACTCTGATGTGCCATCCAACTTATTTTAAAGATTCATTTGAGAAATTTCTGTGTAAATTCAAATTGGTTTATGTTGTACAAATTACAGAGGCGTTGGGGAGGGGCAGCCTTTTAAGAACACCTGAATCACTGAGGGAAAATTTGAGAGACTTAATGAATTTGCAACTAGATATTTTTGTTGCCATTACCCTGAGTGATTAACCATTACTGTAAAATTAGATTCATTTGGTAACATTTAGTTGTCTTTGAATATTTTTAAAATTATTTTAATTGCTACATCTATTTAAAAGAGGGGGGCCATACATATAAATACTTTATAGAAATTATTTGGAAGATTATTTGTTTACTTATTGTCCCCTAATAGTTTCTGATATTATTTTTTCCTATATAAACTCCTTGGGTGTCATAGAAAAGGTAACGGGTAATGCGTGGATGAAGATCCAGGGGTTACATCAGCCAGCAAAATGCTGTTTTTACAGAAATGTGATTTACACAATGGCAATACTGACTTTTGCCTTTGTTCTCCAGGATATGGTTAATAGAAGAATTGCCATGGACATGATACTGAAAATGGCAGATTCCCAGCGTTTTAGACAGTTTATCTTGCTTACTCCTCAAAGCATGAGGTAACTTTTTAAAACTTTCTATGACATATATGTATCAAAAATACAAAGAGGAAAGAAATCTTTCATAATTTTTCATTTTTATAATACAGATATGTAAATGACTGATGAAAAGGAAAACTAGCTTCTATACTGCTAGTTCAGGAGATTTAAGGTGGCTTTTTCCTTTTCTAGATACTCAAAGTTTTACTTGCATCATTTCCCTTGGATGACTTAAACAAGTTGATTGGAATATGATTACTGACTTGTTACTATTTTTATTTTGAATCTGCTCCTTTGTGGTTATCATGACCAACTAATATGAAGTAATTTAGTAATTCTGTTCAGACTGAAGAAACAATTCATGTCTCTTTTCTTGATGTCTTACACATACCAGTCTTTCTAAATAAAGAGCTCTGCTCTGCTGTCAGTCATCATTTACTGAGGACCTGCAATGTGTTAGGCACTGTGTTGCTTAGAGTCGATACTCTGGCTCTAAAGTGGTCATGTGATCAATATGGAGATTTAAATTTGCAATTGGGAATATTCAAGTAACTCCTTCCTTGCTAGATAAGAACAAGAATTAAAAACAGTTGATATATATCTCTCTTTCATTTTCTTTTCCTCCAAACTGAAAACCTGTGGGATATAGTGTAAAAATGAAGACAGTATTTTCTTATTGCAAATAATATTTCTCCTAGAACTCTAGATATTAGACATGTCGCACTCTTAGTAACAACCATTTACATTTATATTTTCATGAAGTAGTAGAATTTTTTTTAATTAATAAAAACATTCCTAGAAATTTGAATAATTAAGTTTGTTTCCTCTAGCTCACTTCCTTCAAGCAAATTGATAAGAATACTTCGAATGTCCGATCCTGAGAGAGGACAAACTACATTGCCTTTCAGACCTCTTACCCAAGGAGAAGACGACGACTAAAGTTGATGTGTAATTTAACATGCTCTGTCCTCACATTGAAAGATTTGTGAAGGGAAAAAGATCTTAGACTTTTTGACATAATAAAATAAGACTGGAGATATTCTAAAATTAAAGAAACTCCTTTATATATCTGACCACAATCAAATGTATAAATAAGCCTAGAAAACTAACTACAACCAGCGATTTAAAAAACTATTATAAAACTATTACTTTCCTTTAAGAAAATCGATTTCATAGTACTGGTTTTAAATCTTCTTGAGATTTTTTGTTTTATTTTGTTTTGTTTTTTACCATCCACTTTTCTAGATTCTTTTTCAGAACCAAATTTTGTACATATGTACATGTATATATATCTGTTTAGTTTGAGTTCATTTCTATAGTATTTTGTAAGAAAATAAAAGTTTGAACACCTGATTATATTTAGTTTTGCTTTTCCAGAATATTTCATTCTATAGTTAAATTGTCAATAATACAAGAAAGGAGGAATTTCTCATTGCAGAGGGTGGTGCAAGGGAGGTCTCTATGGACAGGGACTGGTTCACTGTGCATTTTCTGCTTATTATTGATGAGGGACCCATATAGAACTGTGAATGCTTGAGGCAAAATTCTTGCCTGCAGGTAATTTTTAACCCCAAAGTACAAATATAGATTTGGGCTATAACTTTTAACTGTTGTAGTTTATCAAATTTAAGATGCTGTCTATATGGAGAACTGCAACACTGCCAAGTCTGACACACTTTTTTCTCAGTCCTTGAACTGTCCCCCACCCAGCTCAGAGCCTCTAACCCCACCCAGCTCAGAATCAGAATTGGATCATGGTGCAGCTTTCACCCTGACCTACAGCACACTCACCTGGTTTAAAAGCCCTCAGTTTACATGTAGGGAATGCGGCTGTACTGAGAGAGGACACCGGCCAGAGGGACTGTGCAGACAAGGCTGGGAAAATTGGGGGTGGAGCATGGCTCCTCAAAAAACAGGAAAGTAGCTAGTGGCTGCAGGAGTCCAAGGCCAAACTGGTGGTGGTGAGCTGACATCAATTAGAAGATACACCCAATGGTCAAATAGAGAATATTGAACTTTTTTTAAGGATACATGAATAGTATTATTTCCTGTATTCTCTGTTTGATACAAGGATTCATGCTAAACTTTTAAAAAAAACTCTCTGGCTATCAACAGGAAGCATTCCTTATATTAGCAGTAAATATTAGAATACATATTTATGGAATTGAAAAGGAAATATTTTAAGAAAAGTAGCATGTTAAGAGCAGGAACCACTTCTGTAGTTATTGAGAAAAACTAGGTTTTGTTTGTGGTGGGGGGAGGAGTCTAATTTAGTCTTAAATTGAGATCATTTCCCAAATGAGAAGTCCAAAAATTTGTGCTTTCTTATCTAAGAATTTACAGGAAGAGGAAAAGGTGTACTGAATGTTTTAATATCTCCTACTGACCATACAAAGTCTAATTTTTAATTGACATTTGTAAGTTTTAATATAGTGCTTTTTCAAATTAAAAAGTAGAATATACCAGATGGATCAATTTTTTTTTTTAGCGAAGGAACTTCAGTGTCTAAATCCTTGTGATAGTTTTGAATGTTGTGCTTCTTCATACAGAATGGAAAGTACAAGCCTCAGGTATCCAAGAACCTCTTGTTGAATTGAAGATTATTCATTGCTTTAACCTCACAAAGTTTTGGTTTCATCTATTATAAGCAAAAATATTTTTATTTAATGTTCTAAGTAGCAGTAATACTAGAATAACAAGAATAAGAAGAAATTGTTCTTTTAAAATACATGTAACTTCTAAAAATAAAACTTAAAATTTCTATGTATTAAGGTCATGGTTTCGTGGATTGGGGAAGGTTATACTCACTGACTAATTTGATCGTCTTTAGGAGTGGTGACTGCAGATACCGTGCAGGCAGGCAGCTCTTCAGCCCGTAATTCATCCTCAGTGCAGCTATGACTGAAAGAAGACCCAGGAAACAAGGAAGAAAGGCCTACTTGGATCTTAAATCCTACCTTCTCAAATCTTTGGGATGGCAATGATTAAAATCATTCTTAAAGTAGCAATGTGATAAGTTTTGGTAAAAACAGAGTATAAATAATACAGTTACTCAAATTGATAAATCATCACAAAAGATTCAGGCATCACCTGCTTAAATATTTTCTAAGTTTTCGTTTTTCCCATTTCCCAGTGCTTTTTTTTTTTTTTTTTTTTTTGGCCTATCTTCATAATGTCTGGGCTGTTTATATGTGGAGATCAAAATGATACATTCTGTGTAAGAAGCTATGGGCTGGGGCTCATGAATTAGATTGGCTATGTTGCTGATTATAATGAAAACCAAGGGATTCGGAATCTGCTTAAGAGTTCTCCTGAGTCCACAGATTAGATGTGGGAAGAAAGACAAAGTGTTGATGGTGTCCAGAGACAGTCATTTTCTGGTTGGATTTGTGACTTGTTTATGCATCTACTATATGACTTCTACTTTGACCAGTTCAGATTTGGGGGAAAATTGGATTGAAATTTTCAGTCCTAAGCATTTAAGCAAATACCCTTGTTTTCTGACTTGAATTCAATGCCTACAGATTTGAAGATAAATCAAAATATTTGAAAGGAACCGGTTTTGTTCTTTAAGGACTGCTAAAGTAATAATATGGATATAAGTAAGCTGTTTCTTTGAGTCAGCAAATGAATTTTTTAAAAAATCTATAATATTGATACTTAGCATATTTAATTTGAACATTAGCATCTGGACAGAATCCATAGAAACAAAAGTGGCAAGAGTATACGCACTAGTTATAGCAAGTGGAAGAGGACTTTTGCTCCCGATTTTTTCTTCAGCTTAAGAATGCAGAGATGAACTCATTAAAAAATGATTAAGTTCCTGCCATATGTTAGGGACTGTGTTAAGCATTGGGAACACTAGTGAGGAATACTAAATCTGCCCTCATGGAATTTAAAATCTAGTTTGACATAAATAATACCGTATATAATAATCACAGCTAATAATTATAATAAATTAGCCAACAGTAATTCCTATGAAGAAGATTAAAACGGTGAGGATTTGCAGGGGTGCAGGAGAGTGCCATGTTTTGAATGCAATGTTTAGAGAAGACTACAGAAGGCAATACTCTAGGAGAGCCCTGAAACTAGTGTTGGGAGCTCTGAGAAAGAAGGTGGGCAGAGCAGCAGTTCCAGGCAGGGTCCCAAGTGCAGAGGTCTGAGGTGAAGATGAACTTCATGTCTAGGAATCCTGAGGGTAGTGTCAATAGAGCGGAGTGAGCATTAGAGGATTGGTAGGGCTGAGGTTCAGGGGGAAGCAGAGCAAGATCATTTGAGACTAAAACCACTGTAAGCAGGTTGAGAGACAAATGGTAAGCATTAAAAAAATCCCTCTGGCTGCTTGTGGGTAGAGCAGAGCAATTGCAGGAAGAGGGTGAGCGATTTGGAGGCGTAAATGGGTCCCAGTAAGAGGTCATGGTGACTTGGATTAAGGTGGTGGGGACAGAAACATTCAGATTTGAAATAGAGACAGCAAGACCTGCATGATGAGAAAACTGGAATTGTGAGAGAAATCAAGGATAATTTCCTTGGAGCTTGGGGCCTACTGGATGAATAGTGGTGCCATTCACAGGAAAGGGGCCCCAGGGAAGGGAGAGGAGCTATTCACCGCAGTGTGGGGAGTCGAAAACTCTGGTTTGAGCAGGTGACATTTGTTTAGACACTTAACAACTAGTTAATCAGGAACTTGACAGTAACTGTATATTGAGTATAAAAGTTTGGAAAGCAATAATATGACTTAGGAGTCTGAAGATCTGTATTTCATCTGCAAAATGCTCAGACAAACCCAAATTGCATGTCCAGACTTGGGGAACTAAATGTTTTTAAGAGTGAAGGGAACCGTGCACACTGTGTTTTTACACTTAGAAGCTCTGATCGACTCAGTTTCTTCTACAACCCTGCACTTACTTTGCTGTAAGGCTCTCTGAAGATGTATGTTTAAGCTGGAGCTTTACTTGATATGATTTCCAACTGTGTGGAAGAAATAAGCATCTGGCCTCTTTAAGAAAGTAGTTTATATTCCTTTAGAGACTGACCCTCAATGAGTGAGTTACAGAAAAAAATATAGCCTTAATACCATTCCTTTTTTTTTTTTTTTTTTGGCTGGGGCTAGGTTTGAACCCACTACCTCTGGCATAGGGGACCAGTGCCCTACTCCTTTGAGCCACAGGTGCTGCCCTAATACCACTCCCTTTTTAAAATAGTTCAGATTTATTAACGAAATGAACAGAAATTTGGAAACCTCGGGCTTCTAAATGGAGGAAGAATTGAGGCTAGAAATAAGATACTTGGGGACATTTTCCCTTCAGAATAACAGCAGGAGTTGAGCAGCTAATTAATATAATTAAAATGGCAGCTGAGTCTGAGCTAGAATCAATGGAAGTCAGGCACACTTGAATGATTAGAGCAGTGGTGCTCAACCTCCCTAATGCCTCCTAATGCCATGATCCTTTAATACTGTTCCCTATGTTGTAGTGACCCCCAACCATACAATTATTTTTGTTGCTACTTAATAACTAATTTTGCTGCTCTTAATGAATCGTAATGTAAATATCTGATATGTAGGATATATTTTCATTGTTACAAAGATCAAGAACCGCTGGATTAGAGGAAGCCTATAGGTCTTTTCTGAAGGAACCACTGTTGGGTTCGTGGACGTCAGGAGGATTTAGGTTGTGAGTAATGTGTTTGGATGGAATCCAATTGCAGAGGGTTCAGTTGACCACACCTCATCTCATGGTGCACCTTCAGCTCTGGTCCATGCAGTACTCACGTGTTTCCCTTTATCTTCATCATCATTCCCTGTAACATTGTGTTTTCCAAAGCGGGCCTCAACCTTAGCTCCCTCTCATGTTATCCCACAAGGTTGCCTTTTAGAGTTTAATTCTCAGTCTGGGCAGATTTATAACTCACAGCCAATAGAATGCAATAGGAGTGACACGTTGTAACTTCCAAGGCTAGGTCAGAAAAGGTGATAAAAAGAAATGAAAGTGCTACCTTGATCTCTAGAATATTTGTACTAGAGCCCTGTGCCAGAGTGGAA